TTCTTGCTCTCCCACATCAGGGGAACATTTAACACATTTCAAAATTTAGTGGTTTGCTTTTCAGATTTGATGGCAAACCACCACATGGGCTTATTAAGGTCAAACTGAGCTGGAAAACAAGCTAATGTTGACTTCTGTGAGGCTCTGAGACCGTTTTCTGCTTGCAACAATGGCAAGCCACCAGCTTTCGCCTCTATTTTTTGCCATGGTGGCGGCAGCAAAAGTGCGCAGCCCACGGGGACAGGTTGGTCCTTGGACAACCCGGATTCGTCCCTCCTACCAGATACTCTTCCCAGCCCAACCTCGTGAAGACAGAATGAGACAATCTTCTACTGAGCATTGTGCTCATCTCCCAGGATAAATGAATAAAAATGCTGAAGCATAAACCAGCTTACAGGAAGGAAGAATTGGGAAAGATGCCTCAAAATGGTATGGGAAAATGTAGGGATTTCAATACAAATACTGACCCCACACATTTTGATGGAAACCTTCCTTGGGGTCATGAAGAAGGCAATTGCTAACTAGTTGTTGTTGTTAGTCGCAAAGTCGTGTCCGACCCATCGCGGCCCCATGGACAACACTCCTCCAGGCCTTCCTGTTCTCCACCATCCATCCCTCGGAGTCCACCCAAGCTCACACCGACTGCTTCAGTGACTCCATCCAGCTACCTCATTCTCTGCCGCCCCCTCCTTCTTTTGCCATCTATCGTTCCCAGCATCAGGGTCTTCTCCAGTGAGTCCTTCCTTCTCATTAGGTGGCCAAAGTATTTGAGTTTCATCTTCAGGATCTGGCCTTCTGAAGAGCAGTCAGGGTTGATCTCCTCTAGGACTGACCGGTTTGATCGCCTTGTGGTCCAAGGGACTCGCAGGAGTCTCCTCCAGCACCACAATTCAAAGCCTCAATCCTTTGGCACTCAGCCTTCCTTATGGTCCAGTTTTCACTCAGCAAATTGAATTACTCAGCTCCCAAGGAAGGAAATGTGCTGGAAAATCTATCTGTTCATTAAAACTCTCTACATACCCCAGTACCATTTGAGGGTTGTCTGTGTCTCTAGTTTTTCCTTTTACTTCTGTTGCTGAAGTCAGTGGGAAAATGGCTTTTGCAGTCCCATGCTAAATCTGCTTGCTCAGATGTAAGTCCCAATAACTCCTCACAGGGAATAATTGTGGAGCATGTATGCTTAGGGTTGCGTCTTTGATTTGACTCAAGCTGGACTGCACTCTTACTGGTTTATTGGAAAGCGAGCTTTTGTGAGGCTGCTTTAGCACAGAACTGAATGGATTGTTGGGGTACAGTAGGAGGAAGCTGACCTGACCACTCAAGGACAAACCAATTTAAAGAGGGGGGGAATGAAGGTAAATGCATAAAATATGTACTGATCGCAGGTGGACCCCAGATCCTAATATCTTTCTTATTTTAGGTATAATTGGGTCAATGCTAGGTATACGGCTTAGGTTTAATTTTCATGTTGAAAGCAATGGTATTTAAAGTGGTCCAATGTACTGAGATGGTAGGTCCATTTTTAAAGTGCAAGATTTGTATGCAAACACTTTTCCCCTCTTCCCTTTCCATCCTTTTTTCCTTGTGTGACATGTCATTTTAGATTGCCAATGTGTGGGAAGGGCTGTCTTACTTTAATAATGATGTAGAAGCCAGGCTGGGAGACTACTTTGGCTGAGATGTGGAATAAAAATAGTTTAATGCAGTGAATGATGTGTTGGTGCCTTTTAACACAGTATGTTTACAATTTGTGAACTGCCCAGAGACCTTTGGCTGGTGGACAGTAGAGAATATAAATAAATAAATAAGCAAGCAAGCAAACTATGATCCATGTTTCCAAGATGTAGCATTTCATGCCTCAGAGGAGAGGGAAGCAAAGAGTTTATTAGATGTGGGTTGAAATTCTCAGCAAGGTTTAAAGGCCAATTCTTGTAAGTAAATATTCAAGGTTAAGCTGCAAAAATAAAAATAAAAATGGTGCTGCATGAAGAATACAAGAGAGAAGTCATAAGATATTTGGATGGCAATATTTTCTGTAAATTCTAGGGGGATTTGCCTTACACAATCATAGTTTTCATAGGTGTGATCCATGGAAGAAAAAAATGACATTAGATTCCAAAGATGGTTATCAGGACTAGCCCTGCTCTTGCCAGAGTGAGGCAGCAGATGCTGAGTGGTGCGATGCTGTTGGTGACCAGAGGGAACTGTGTGTCTGGCGTGATCTGCCGGTGATCTCTAAACTAGCCAGCCACTCTGAGACACGGAGAACAACACTCCCCTGTCACCAGAGCGAAGCCAACAGCCAAATCAAACGGCTTTTGTACTTGAAATGTAAGGAAGGCCACCATCTTTTCCTTCATCCCAGGAAGCAAAATATCTCTGGATGGACTTCCCCATTCTAAAGCTTTGCTTTACTTTGGAACAAAGAGAAAATGGTCAAGCATGTCCCCCAGCTGGCATAGATACTAAACATCTGAATTTAAGGCCCTTGCCTAATCTGTTCTTTCTTTTTACACCCCAGTTTTTAGTTGATAGGAATGTTGCAGGGCGAGAATGTGAAAAATCTAATTTAACAACTTGACATGCAACTTAGCACTTTATGAACATCATTTCAGTTATCAGTATTAATGCATCAATACCAGTTAAGGCTGAAGATGTGGCATGTTGTTTGAACTATTTCTCAAAACCTAATTTCAAAAGTGCTGCTTGAACATTGTCTATATTTGCTTATTTTAGGGATTCATGTTCTGTCTTCCAACAAGGGGCTTTTAATCAATCAATATCACAATAAAAAGCAAATTACAATAAAGACACAAGAACAACACACTTTAAAGATAACAGTTAAAAAGCAGCCGCCAGAAAGAAAGTGAATCCACAAACAACACAATAAATGGAGTCAAAAACAGGTCAGATGAAAAAGCTTGGGAAACAAAGGGAAGGGCTGTAGCTCAGGGCTGGATTACCTGTTTCACATGTGGAAAATCTCAGGTTCAGTCTCCATTGTGGCCACCAAGGGCAGATACGTGGACTGGTGGTCTGTTTCAGTGCAAGGTAGCTTCCTATTTTCTCATCATAAAAAAGGTTGTGCCTGGGATCAAAACCACATCCATGCACCTCTTTTAGAACTTGCCAGGCTCGCTGCCTCTCTTGCTTTTCAAATTTTCTTTCCTAAGATGATGATTCTTGTTGCTGTTGTTTACCTCAACCACAACAGCTCAGAGGTTGCAGGGCTGTCTGCGGCATTTCCTTTACGGGGTTCAAAAGTCTTGCTGGCATCCCCAGACTTGGAGTGGGAACCTTCCAGCAGCAACAAACAAATCTAATGAAATGCCAAATTGCTGTAACAGCAGAGTCCTTTTAAATGTATGGGGAGCTGTAGGGCTTTTGTCTATAAATACATATAGGATTATGCTTGGAATGTTGGTTAGTAAGAGGTGAGTGGTGAGAGAGAACAAGCCAGAAACCAGAATGCACGCAACATTTTATACCCTTCCCCCATTGTTTTGTCCTTCCCCAAAAAAACTCAGCCAGGAATCCATGGCCATCACACATCCCTCTCAACCTTGCTTTCCTTTCCTGAAGTTTGTGTATTTCTGCAAATCCCAACAGCACTGAGCCTCTGCTCTGTTTTGGCTGCCTAGCATACAGATCCTCTCAGATTCGTGTGCGTGGGATAATGTGCTATTGTATGACTGCAGCTGTAAAATGGAGACGGGATTGTTTCTGTGAGTAGAGAGCTCTCTGGCACAACTGTTGTTGTGTGTGGCCTGCACACATCTTCATTTAGTCCTCTCCTGTCCCTGGTCAAAAGGGCTTTCTAGAGGATGATAAAATGCCTGCAAAATCGGTAAAGTTTAGAGTAAAAGGTCATGCTTCAAACTCCAGGCTATTTCCCCCCTAACCCTGTCCCTGGACGAGAGGTGCCTGGTAGGGAAAACTGTGAGGTTTAAGGCACGCGGAGCATAGCTGTCCCAATTCTCGCCATTAGAGGGCACTGGTAACACATCAACAGGCGCTGCCTCATTAACCCATAGGTGATTTGGTTCTGTTTTATTTCTTCATCCTAAATTTCTCTCTGAACCTACTTAATATTCCCGGAGATGTATGGTTTGCACACCTGCACCACATGTATATACTGTAGACGGTTTGTTTATTTGTCTGTTTAAACTAAACTCAGAAGGACCAAACTTTCCTTAAGTCGAAGGAAGAAAAAAAGTTGGATGGGGGTGCGCGCGCGCGCGCGCGCCTGTGTGTGTGTGTTAAGGCTTGTCCGGTGCGGTTTAAACCGAGATGTGTGACCCACAGAAACGGGGACCCTGCGCCAGGTTGTAACTGCGTTGCCCCTTAGAAGTGTTCGCTCACCCTGCGATCCTTCAGCCATAATGCGATCCCCCAGTCTCCTTGGAATTGGTGCGGCAAGAGCCCGCGGCTACCCTCGCGCTTCCCGCAACGTGTAAAACCGACCAGCACGAGCGTGCGGGGGAGTGAAGCAGCCACGCTGGGCGCACGCATTCCAATGCCCACCCCATCCCGCCCCCTAAAGTCTGTGCTCCCTTCCCCCTCCCCTCCTCTCGCCAAAGACTACATCCCCCAAGATGCTTTGCCGGTCTCTCCCTGGGGTTCCGGATGCTGCTGCCGCCGCCGCTGCTGCTGACAAGCGAAGGTAAGCAGAGAGAGCTTCTGAGGCAGCGAAGGCAGCAACAGCAGCTCCTAAGGAGCTCGAGCGGAGGGACGCCTCGGCCAGCTTTTTCGCTCTCCCTCGCCCTCTCCAAGCCCAGCAAGCGGGCAGGCTGGCAAGGAGGCGGCGGCGGCTGGGAGGCGGCGGCGGCGGCGGCGGGGAGTAGGGGGGGAACCACCACCACCACCAGCAGCAGCAGCAGCAAAAGCCAAGAGGGTCTGGTTTGTCTTCATTTCCTTTTTCCCACCCAGCAGCAAAGAGAGACAGAGGAGAAGCGGCGGCGCGGCGGAGGAAGGAGGGAGGGCGGGAGGGGGGCGGGTGGAGAAAAGCGAGCTCGAGAGCAAATTCTCCCAGCCTTGCATATTTCCTACCCAGCCCTCCTCCTGGCTCCTTCTTTTGTGTGGTGTGTTTGAAAGGGAGGCAAGGAAGCAAAAGAGAAGAAGAGGAAGGAAGGAAGGAAGGAGAGAGAGAGAGAGAAAAAGGGGGAAGGGAGGAGAGCGGCGGCGGCGGCGGCGGCGGAGTCATGTCCAGCAGAGTTGCGTGAGGATAATGTGATCGGCAAAGAGGCGATGAATATGCTGTCGCTGAAGGTTGGCAGTGGCGCCGAAGGGTCGGGCAGCCTCCCCGGCAGCCAGGAGTCCTCTCTTCTGGAAGAAAAAAGTCTCTCCCGAAAGGCAGCGGCCGCCGAAGGGATCGGAACCCCGCAGCCGGCTGGTGAGTAACTCGGGCGATGCGCCCTCGCCTCAGCCGGCCAGCCCTCGTCCTCACCCTTGCCCAGTTTTTCTCTCTCCTTAAAAAAAATGTATTTCGTTTTTGATTCGGCTTGTTTTTGGCTCTTCCTCCCCCACCTCCCATTCCCCCCCCCCCAAGCCTAGGATGTTGGATGGCTACAAAATCTCCTTTCACACGACAGTTGTGTGTGTGTGCGTGCGTGCGTGCGTGTGTGTGTTCTCTCCCTCGCTAACCTTTTTAAAAAATTATTTTGGGGAAGGGATCCAAAATTCACCCCCCCACGCTGCAAGGAGTGCGTGCGTGGGCAGCAAAGTATCCGTGGGGTTGCAAAGAGGGATTTGGAGACGGGGAAGAAGAGAAAGGGATGGAGATTTTTAAAAAAGAAAGAAAAAAACAACCTAGTCCGTATGAACCAGCCTTTTGTCTCAAGCAGTGTAAGCAATGCCTTGGCAGTTGGAGCAAGACAGTTGAAGCGCAAAAGGGGGGGCTGTATTTCTCTTTATTTCCTGTCCTCCCTTCCTCTCGCTCGCTCGCTCGCTCTCTCCTCTCCCCTTTCCTAAGCGACACCTCTTCAGTTGTCTCTCCACACCCCCCCGCCGCCTTTGCAATGTGCTGATCGTTAAGCGCCACTTTTCTGTTCTCTCTCTCCCCCCACCCCGCACACCCCGCTCTTTAAATCGCTCCCGAAATCGCTTTAGGTGTAAACATTAATTTTGCTTCGCACATGCATATGGGGTGCGATGCAGGCAGAAGGGCTTGTATTGCATCCGAGAAGCCCTCGGAGTAAGCAAATCTGTTTACGGGGGGGGGGGTTGCGAGGCGGTGGGAGAAGGAAGGGGGGAGGAAGAGGAGATGTTTTGAAAAGGGAAAGAGTTGCGGGTGAGGGACTGAGAGCTTTCGCCAGGCAAACAAGCCTTTTTTATTTCAGCATGTGGGACTGGCGAGGAGGCGCAATTGAGGACGGAAGCGCCCTGCGGAACCTCGCTGGGAAAAGGGTGAAGTTGCGTCCTCTTCCCTAGAGTTTCCTCTCCACCCCCCCCCCCCCCGCGCCCCCCCCGTGGGGGGGGGTTTTTGGGGGGCCCCCTCCATCCCCGGGAAGCCGGGCGGGGGGGGGGGGGGAGAGGTGAAAGGGTTATGCAGGAGATTTCGCGCAAAGGTTGTGCTGCTGGTGGAGAGAGCGTATCCTGCAAAACAGGTACACCGCGGTGAGGGTTTTGTCGGCCAGCTTAAAGCGCTCGGGGCGGGAGAAACCTGTGGCACAACTGCCTTTGATGCAAATGAAAGAACAAAATACAAGGAAGAAGATGGCACCTGGGGATTTTTTTCCACGGGGTGGGGGGCGGTGTTGTGTGACATCTGCCAGGCAAGGTTCTGTCTGCTGGAAGACAGGTGGCTTTTTGCCTTTAAAGGTGCTGTGGCTGAGACTGGGCCATGGGAGGGAGGCATCTTTACTCACAAGTAAGTTCTGGCGTGTTCAGTGGCCCATACTCACAGGTAAGGGTGCATAGGATTCCACCCTTAGTAGTATTTGCTGCTCGGCTGCTTTACTTAGGGTGTTCCTTGTGTGTGAAGTATGGGGTCTGCTTATTTATCACTTCTCTTATTCTGCCCTTCAGTGACTCTGGCAGCTTCTTTCTGGTGGGAACCAGAAATCTGATGGATTTTTCTGTTGCAGAAATTAAACCCTGATGCTTCTTGGAGTTTCTTTCAAACAATGCTTTCCTTCCGTCCGTCCTTCCTTCCTTCTTTCCTAATATGGCATGCAATATATTTGCAGTACAATCCTATACATGTTTACTCAAGTGTACTTGCTTCTAGGAAAATGTGCTTAGAATTCCTACAACCATCTATGTGGTTGCATCTGGTCCTCTGGGGAAGTTTCTCTCCAAAGTGTTGGCTAAACCCTGGGAGAGAATTGGGTTCTTAATGGTCTTGAAGAGTGAGTGAAATCAAAATACCCAGGCACATGCAGGAATAAATTAGTAGTAACAATTTGGCTAATGAGGTGCACTGGGTGATCCTTGGCATTAAGCCTTTGAGGTTTTAGTTGTCAAGATCTGTTGACATAGTTTTGTGTGGAGAAGGTTTCTGCAACAAGGAGGAACAGTGTCTGAATGTTGTTAGCTTGCCTAAGACCAGACTTGATTCTCACCTACCCTCCCCAGGGCTGGGCTCCGTGATTTGCAAACAGTGCACAGGGCATGTCTGTCTGTCTGTCTGATGGGAGGGCCAAAAGCTGGATTCTCAAGTTGTTGTTTTTTAAAGGGTGTAAGACCAATTCAGAGTGACTTGGCTTAAAGTGGATGTAGATGTGGAGTTGCTGTTAATGAGCTCCTAGGTGTCTCCTTTCAGCTCATGCCAAGAAACGGCCCAGTGGGAACGGCCATAGCTCCCTTGGCGGAGCGCATGCTTCGCATGCAGAGGGTCCCTGGTCCAGTCCCCGGCGGCTCCTGTTACAAGGATCTCGGGTAGCAGGGCTGGAGGAGCAGACACCTGTCTGGGACCAGAGAGGTGAAAAGAGCGCTGGCATCTGCTAGCCCTGGGCTAGCTGGACCAGCAGCCTCATTTGAGAAACGACAGCTCTGTGGACTTGCTGGGGCTGTGTGGAAGGAAGGGCCGTGTGTGCAGCAGGACTTCCGAATGAGCCAGAGCTCATTGGTGGCGCACGTTCTCCACGTGTGTCTCTTTGTGCTTGCCTGTGTCGGCCCTTGTCTTGCAAGAGGGCCAAATCCCAGGTTCCACTTTCTCGACTAATGCCAGGTTTGTGTTTGTCTTGGTGAAGCTGCTTTTCCGTCGCCTTCACAGGGGTGCCCCCGTTGAACAGAAGGGCAGACTAGGAGTTGCGCGGGATGGGGCTGGTTAATCAGGGCTAGCATGTGCATGGGAGAGGCAAGGGCATAACGGACCTTTGGAAAGGGAGCCTGGCAGGAACAAGGAGGCAGAAGGTTACGGGCGGCCCAGAGGGTCTGGCGCTGGCTGGAGTCCTCGCCTGAGCTGCCTCAGAGGGAGGCTTCAGGGACCTGGGGGCGGTCTATTTCTGCTGAGATCCTGAGGAAAGATCTGGGAGAATGGTAAGCATCTATAAATAGTGTGTCAGCAGAGTGGAAACGGAGCCTCTGAAAGACTCTTGCCTGAGAGACCAGTGCCTTGATGAACAGGGCTGTGTTTGTGGGGAAGGCTGGGCTTGTAATGAGATCTGGGACTGGGGGTGTGGAGCGGAGCAGCTCCTTGCTGTTTGGGGTGTATGTATTATGGCCTCATTGAAGGTATAACTTTTATCAGTGTGCAATAGCGTCTAGGTTGTATCACCCCCTGGGCACGCTTCATGCAAATGTGAAGGGGGATGCCGGAGTGCCAAATTTCTTGGGACTCTCAAGCTTGTCTTCTAGCTGGCTAGGAATAAACCCTCTGGACATTGGGCCTTGTGGAATTTTTCAGCTGCACGGCTGAAGCCAGAGAGCTTCAGCGTGGTCACCTGTTGGTTGGTCAAAGGATACGGATGCTCCTATCACTGGCTTTAGGGATGACTGCCGCTCTGTCAGTCTGGACAGAGCTGTGCTGGCCATTCAAGGAACCAGCGAAGCCTCAAGAGCTGGTTTGTGAAGTGGAGCTAGCCTGGGCTTCTCAGAGCAACCTCATGCATATCCCAATAGCCTGGGGAATTGCACGGGAGGCCGGTATTTGCTAGAGGTAAAGCTAACCAAAGGGGGTGCACTTATTATACAAATATAGTGGGGCAGCAAGTGAAAGGGGGCGGACATAGGGATGCAAACAAAAACCCTGTGCATAAACAGGGGGTGGGATTTGGTGGGAGGGTCTCCACAGTGAGGCTTCTGCAGGAGGCCTCCCCAGAAAAGTTGGGACTGGCCTGCCCGCCTCTCGTCCCCAGTGCCTCCAAACGGCTGTTGAGAAGGGGGAAGTGTAAGACATGCGTGCATGTCTTTGGGCCAAGGGTGATCCGGCAGCGTGAGCCTTACTGCATGTACATATTACAGTCCCGTCTCTTACAAGCTTAGTATTTATATTTATACCCAGAAGTGTTTTTTAGCAGGGTGGATATGTGTGAACTACTCACGTGCCTTTATTCACACGTGTGTGCTCACAATCCTATATTGAACCTGCATATCTCGGCAGCGGCAACATAGGTTCCCGGAGTCTCTGAGATCAGCTTTTCTGATGACTGGGTGTCTTATCCGTCCCACCACTTGCCTGGCTCCCCCTGCTTTTGCACAGTGAACTGTGGGAGTTGTAGTGCTGGAGAGCACATCGCTTCGGGCAGTGGTGGTGAACCTATGGCACGCTTGCCACAGCGGGCATGCAGAGCCCTCTCTGTCGGCACACAAGCCAAGTCGCCCCAGCATTGCCCCAGCAGCGGAGCATCGGATAGCAGCACACATAGGGGCCATGCGCATTCTTGGAAAGGAGTAGTGGTGCCAGACAATGACGTCATGAGCCGCAACTCATTAGCTGCAACTCATCCGAACTTTTGCATGGTCAGTCAGTGCGCTGCCCCCCCCCCCACACACACACATATATGTTTGGACTGGCTGTGAGTTATTTTCTAAACTAAAACCTCAGTTTTCAGGTTTTATTGTAGTGTTGGCACTTTGCGATAAATAAGTGGGGTTTGGGTTGCAGTTTGGGCACTTGGTCTCTAAAAGGTTCGCCATCACTGGCTTAGGGGAGCACCAGTCCATCTCTCAAACTACCAGTTTAATCTTAGTTGAACTCTCATAGCTCTGGAGAAGAGCCCAGGCCAGCAACTCACTGTTCAGAAAGTTGGTTGTTCTGCTCTCTTGCAGCATCTCTGACCAGCTCCAGAAAATTTAATAAGAAGTGGACAAGAGGTAAATAAATACAGGGAAATAAATCCGCAGAAATATCCGCATAAATGTCCTCAAGCATCATCTGTCGTTTAGCCTCAGCTTGGGATCGGTGAAGTGGACCTGTCGCCCTGTGATGCCTGGGTCCTCTGTGTGTGT